TTAAATATTATCTTTCTCTTTGCTCTCTTTTCAGTGATCACAGATAACCTGCCCCCTCAGAATACTTTACTTGCTAGCTACTGCATGTTCATCACTCCATTTTGAAGACACATATGTCTGTGCTCTGCCATTAACGCTTACAATGTAAATAACCCTAAAATAGGTCATGTCATGTTATAGCCCAGACACCCCCCCAACCTATGATGCACAACCCCTAACCCTGAAACTGTAGAAAAGCGTTATTGAACCAGATCAGCCATGATCCCCAGCAATTGACCAATCAACTTTGACCCTATCTAGACTCCTCTCTGGCCCGACGAGAGCACTGCTCCTTTCCTCAACAGTGCGATTCTGCATGAGGGGGAAAGCTGCCCCCACTGGAGAACTCAACCGTCCTCACTTTGGTTTACAAATTTCTGGTCCAGTTACCTGGTTATCGCTGTCATCTCCCCACACTTCTCACAAACTCTTCATAGAATGTCCTTTATAACATAACTTATGTCTGTTCTGATGAGGAAGAAATTTCATCTTTTCTCCACTACAGAGAGCCTCATAACTCACTGATAGAATATATAACTTCTCTGATTGCAAAGGAAGGATTTCATAGTTACACATTTCTCCACTTTATGAGAAACTTTTCTCAATATTCCATTAGGCTTTTCATGACTGTGATTCTAAGTGTTGGCTCTGACAGTTATATAGTGGAAAATTCTTCTCTGTGCTTCAGTTTTCCTCTCATAAATGGATGAGCATTGGACTGGATGAATTCTGAAATCTCCTTCAACTCTAAGTCCTATGACTTCTGCTGGTTTAGTAGTTGGTGATATTCAAGGATGTGGCTGCAGACTTCACAGAGGAGGAGTGGGTCCTTTTTGGCCATACTCATAAGGATGAGGAGGTCATGCTGGAGAATGCCCAGAACCTGTTCTCCCTGGGTAAGGACACTTCCCCTGCTAATTCTGAGTCTAAAATCAAAGGGAATATCTTTATTCCTGAGTGTGCAGAATTTTGAGCATTTATCAGTTCTTAGGCCAAAGCATTGGTCTCCTGGGTCTGAGAGACAGGGCCCTCTTGCTCCCTGGTTTTCCTGTAAAAGGTCTTTGCCTCATGAGATAGGGAATTCCAAGTTTCCTTTCTTGCTCCTGAAGCTGTCTCTTACTGGTTCTAGGGAGCCTAAGGTCACAGATCAAACCAGTGTTGAAGAATCTCAGACTTGGAAGTCATCTCAGAGGTGGTACCCAGTCCAACCTAGTCCAACCTCTCCCTGAACCTGAATTTTGTCTGCCAGATTTCTGAAAACTGCAAAGGCAGTTTTTCCTTGACAATGGGCAGTGAAGGAGGCCCCTATTTCTCAAAGCAGCCTTTTCATGTTCTGGATTTTGTTTCTAATATTCCCAGAAGTTTTCATTTGGGGATTTCTTTCAGGAGGTGACCATTGGATTCCTTATGTTTCTACTTTGCCCTTTAGTTATAAGATATCTGGGCAGTTTTCTAATTTCTTGATACATGTTGTCTAGGCCTTTTTTTTTCTTTTTATCATGACTTTCAGGTAATCCAATAATTTTTAATATTATTTTATTTTTTCCCAATTACATGTCAAGACAATTTTTATCATTTATTTTTACAAGATTTTGAGTTCCAAATTTTTTTCTCTCCCTCCCCTTTCCTCTTCTTAAAATAGAAAGCAATTTGATATAGGTTATACATGTGCTATCATGTAGAAAATATTTCCGTATTAGTCACAGTTGTGAAAGAAACAGATCAAGAGGAAGAAAAAAACCATGAAAAACAATAAAATGAAAAAACTGTACTTTGATCTGCATTCAGAGTCCATCAGTTCTTTAACTGGCTGTGGATAACATTCTCCTTCTCAAGTCGTTTGTACTTGTCTTGGATCATTGCATCGCTGAGAAGAGCTGTCATTCATAGCCCATCATCACATGATGTTGCTGATACTATGTACAAGGTTTTCCTGGTTCTGCTCATTTCACTTTGCATCAGTTCATATAAGCCTTCCTAGATTTTTCTGAAATCTGCCTGTTCATAATTTTTTTTTAACTGAGGCAACTGGGGTTAAGTGACTTGCCCAGTCACACAGCTAGTAAGTATCATGTATCCGAGGCCGGATTTGAACTCAGGTCCTCCTGACTCCAGGGCTGGTGCTGTATTCACTGTGCCCCCTAGTTGCCCCTGTGCATCATTTCTTATAGCACCATAGTATTCCATTACATCTACATGCCATAGCTTGTTCGGCCATTCCCCAATTGATGGGCGTCCCCTCAGTTTCCAATTCTTTGCCACAACCAAAAGGGCTGCTATAAATATTTCTTCACACGTTGGTCCTTTTCCCTTTTTAGGATCTCTTTGGAATACTGATCTAATTAATAGCGGCATTGCTGGATCAAAGGGTATGCACAGTTTGGTTGCCCTTTGGGCAGAGTTCCAAATCCCTCTCCAGAATGGTTGGATCAGTTCCAACTTCACCAACAGTGCTTTAGTGTCCCAATTTTCCCACATCCTCTCCAACATTTGTTGTTTTCCTTTTTTTGTCAATCTGATAGGTGTGAGGTGGTACCATAAAGTTGTTTTAATTTGCATTTCTCTGATCAATAGTGATTTAGAACATTTCTTCATATGACTACAGGTAGCTTTGATTTCTTCTGAAAACTGCCTGCTCATATCCTTTGACCGCTTATCAATTGGGGAATGGCTTGCATTCTTAGAAATTTGACTCAGTTCTCTATATATTTGAGAAATGAGGCCTTTATCAGAGACACTGGCTGTAAGGAGTGTTTCATAGCTTTCTGCTTACCTTCCAATCTTGATTACACTGGTTTTGTCTGTGCAAAAACTTTCATTTAATGTAATCAAAATTATCTACTTTACATTTCATAATGCTCTCTATCTCTTGTTTGGTCATGAACCTGTAATTTATTTAACATCTGCTTTAAGAATTTGGATGCTAGGGGCAGCGAGGCGGTGTGGTGGATAGAGCACTGGCCCTGAAGTCAGGAGTACCTGAGTTCAAATCCGGCCTCAGACCAAACACTTGACGCTTACTCACTGTGTGACCCTGGGCAAGTCACTTAACCCCAACTGCCTAAAACAAAAAAACCCAAAAAACAAGAATTTGGATGCTATACCACTTGGTGCATATACATTCAGTGTTGATATTACTTCATTGTCTATTAGCAAGATATAGGTTCCTTCCTTATCTCTTTTAATTGGGTCTATTTTTGCTTGCGCTTGGTCTGAGATAAGGATTGCTATGCCTGCTTTTTTTTTTAACATCAGCTGAAATATAATAGATTCTGCTCCAGCCCCTTACCTTTACTCTGTGTGGGTCTCTCTGCTTCAAATATGCTTCTTGTAAACAATATATTAGGGGCAACTAGGTGGTGTAGTGGATAGAGCACTGGCCCTGATTTTAGGAGGACCTGAGTTCAAATCCAGCCTCAGACCAAACACTTGACACATACTAGCTGTGTGACCCTGGACAAGTCACTTAACCTCAATTGCCTAATATATATATTGTAGGATTCTGCTTTTTGATCCATGATGCTATCTGCTCCCGTTTTATAGGAGAGTTCACCTATTCACTTTCACAGTTATGAGTACTAACTGTGCATTTCCCTCCATCCTATCTCTCCTCCTGTTTGTCCCTCTCCTTTCCCCCTTTCTCTCCTCACCAGTGTTTTGCTTCTGTCTACCACCTCCCCCGATCTGCCCTCCCTTCTGTCAGTCCCCTCCATTTACTTAATCTCCTCCCCTCCTACTTCCCTGTTGGTAAGATCAATTTCTATATTCAACTAATTGTGTATACTGTTCCCTCTTTGAACCAATACTGATGAGAGTAAGGTTCAAGCCAGGCCCACTGCCCACCCTCCCGACTTCCCCTCCACTGTAATAGGTTGTTTGTGCCTCTTTATGTGAAATAACTTACCCCTACGCTACCTCTCCCTTCCTTCTGCGCCTGGCATGCCCCTCCTTCTCATCCCTTCATTGTTTGTCATTGCCTCAAATTCACCTTCTACATATTTTCCTTCTAGCTGTACTATTAGTGGTACAATTGCTAAGAATTAACAGTATCATCTTCCCATGGAGCGATGTAAACAGTTCAGCTCTATTGCCTCCCTTGTGTTTTCTTTTCCCTTTTCAGGCTTCTTGGGTCTTGCTTTGAAAGATCATTTTTTTGGTTCAATTCTGGTATTCTCCTTATGAAAACCTGCAATCCTTCTATTTCATTGCATGACCATTTTTCTCCTTGAAGTATTATGCTCAGTCTCATCAGGTAAGTGATAGTTGATTGTAGTCCTAGCTCCTTTGCCTTCCAGAATATCATGTTCCACAACCTCTGATCTTTTAATGTTGCAGCTGCTAAGTCTTGTGTACTCTTGATTGTGGTTCCCTGATGTTTGAATTGCTTCTTTCTAGCCATCTGCAGTATTTTCCCCCTTGACCTGATAGTTCTGTAATTTGGTTATAATGTTCCTTGGAGTTTTTATTTGGGGATTTCTTTCCTGAGGTGATTGGCGGATTCTTTCAATACATATTTTGCCCTGTGGTTCCAGGATATCAGGACAGTTTTCTTTGATAATTTCTTTAAAGGTGCTGTCCAGGTCCTCCTTTTGATTATGGATTTCAGGTAGTCCAATAATTCTTAAAATATCTCTCCTTGATCTCTATTCCAGTTCAGTTGTTTTTCCTATATTTCACATTTTTTTTAAAGTTTTTCAACTTTGTTTTATTTTTTTCTTCATGTCTCATGGAGTTGTTAGCTTCCATTTGACCAATTCTAATTTTGAAGGAGTTATTTCCTTCAGTGAAGCTTTGAACCTCCTTTACTATTTGGACAATTCTAATTTTTAAAGATTTTTTTTCAGTATCTGTTACACCTCTTTTACTAAGCTGTTTATTCTCTTAAAATTATTCTCATAATTTTTTATTCAATTGCTTGTATTTCTTTTCTCAATTCTTCCTCTATTATTCTTACTTTATTTTTAAAATCTTATTTTGATTCTTTTTTAAAAATCTCTTTCTTCAGCCCTCCCAGGAATTTTTGTTGGGTTGATGTTCAATATGTATTTTTCTGTGAGGCACTGCTTGTAGATGGTGGCTTTCACGTCATTATCATCTTCTGTGTTTCGGTCTCGAGCTTTCCTGTCACCGTAGTTTAAGGTCAGGTTTTTTGGTGTTAGTTTGCTTATTTTTTCCAGCCTATTTCTTGACTTTGGGCTTCATATTAGAGATGGTCTCTGCTCATCACTGCAGGGGGGATATCTGGCCTGAGCTTCTGTTTTTTACATCCTGCTGCTTTTAGTGCTAGGTCTATGGGATTGTAAGGTTTTTTTTGTGCTTCCACAGTGGTGCGATGCAGAGAAAGATCTGGTCACTGCCCTCTTCTTCTGTGCTTTGACCTTCACACATTTAGGACCCCTGGTTCCTTACAACCTGGACTGCACCTCTCCAACCTAAGACTCTGACCAGGAACCGGGTAATGGGTGATAGAGTTGCCAAATGTCTCCTCATCCTGTGCCCAGTGCTAGCTCAAGGGATCTCATGGAATATTTCTGACCAAGTGTACAGTCCCCTTAACACTCCTTTGATGCTGCTGTCTCTAAAGCCCATAGTCAATGCTTATTTCTGGCACACCATGCTCCCAGCCAGCTCCCACCCCAGAGTGTACAGACCTCTCTTTATGTCTTCCTAAGCTACCCTGGGCTACAAAAATGATTCGCTGAGATTTTTGTCTTTTTTCATAATTTATTTAGGTGCATTTGTTTAAGTTGTTAAAGACAGGTATATTGCAAGATTAAGCAAGCATGCTGGTCTCACTCTAACATCTTGGATCTTCCCCTCCTTCTCCCCACCCCATTTGCTTTTGTATATTATGCACCTGATCTGTTCAATTTCTCAAGCTTTCCATTTTTAAGTATTACAAAATAGTTTGTGCTATAACGTCAAATTTGTTCCTGTTAGGCCTCCTTCCTAGAATACTGGAAGAGGCTGTGGAAAGAGACATAGGAACACACTTTTCATGGGAACACAGATTTAGAGTTGGAAAAGACCACAGAAGTCACTAAGGTCAACTTTCTCATTTTAGAGATCAGTAAACTGAGGCACAGAGAGGTTGATCCTTGCCCAGAGTACATAGCTAGAGAGCATCTGAGGCAGAATTTGAACCCGTCTCCCTGATTCTAAACCCACTGCCCTATCGTTACAACATACTGCTCTCCTCTATACTGTTTCGAACATCAATTTCAATTATAAAAAAAGTGACTAAAGTGTCCATACCTTTCAGCTAATGACTCTACTAAGAGACTTATGACCCAAGGAATAATAATAATAGCTAACACTCATATAGTGATTTATTGCTTGCAAAGTGCTTGACGGGTATTATCTCATTTGATCCTCATGTCACCCTAAGCAGTAGGTGTTATTAGTACACCCATTTTACATATGGAGAAAACTGAGGCAGTTGCTCAGAGTCACATGGCTAGGAAATGTCAGAGACTGAATTTGAACTCAGGTCTGTCATCTATCAGCCTAAAGAAATAAATCTTCAACAGTTACCAAAATATTTATACCAGAATTCTTTTGTGTCAACAAAGAGCAGGAAACAAGTTAAGCATCAATCAATTGGAGAATGGCTGATGAAGTTACAGTATATAAATGCTATAGAATATTACTGAGGAGTACTGAAAAAAATAGTATTTCAGAGAAAATTTCACTACATTTATAGATTTCATAATATGAAATCTGAGTTCCATAAGCTTTACCTATAGCATTTCTCCAATATGTAGTCAAGTATGAGACTTATGTCAAGGCTTTCCCACAATCAATGCTTTTGTAATGCTTCCTTTCAGTGTGAATATTCTGGTGTCTAAGGACAACCTTCTTCAGCAATATTCATGTCACCACTGAGCACATTCATAGTTTTCCCTATTATGAATCCTCTGATGTAAAGTAAGATATGATCTCTTTGACCCACATTGAGTCCATATTGAGTTTGTCCCCAGAATGAACTTTCTGAAGTCTAACAAGCTCCATATTCCATTTGAATGCCTTTCCCCATTCATTATACTGATAAGATTTCAATCTAGTATGAATTCTCCCAAAGAAAATATGGGATGAGTGTTATCAGATGGCTTTACAGCATTACTTATATTCATGAGATTTCTCTCCAGTGTGGATTCTGTGATGATCAGCAAGATTGGAGCTGCGTCTGAAAGTCTTTCCACATAGATTACAGTAATAAGGTTTCTCTCCATGGATTTTCTCATGTTCAACAAGATTGGAGCTGCATCTGAAAGTCTTTCCACATTGATTACATTCATAAGGTTTCTCTCCAGTGTGGATTCTCTGATGATCAGCAAGACTGGAGTTCCTTATGAAACTCTTTCCACATTCAATACATTTATAAGGCTTTTCTCCAGTGTGGGTTCTCTGATGTAGAACAAGTCTGGACTTAAATCTGAAAGTCTTTCCACATTCATTACATTCATAAGGTTTCTCTCCAGTATGGATTCTCTGATGTTCAGCAAGATTGGAGCTGCATCTGAAAGTCTTTCCACATTCATTACATTCATAAGGTTTTTCTCTAGTGTGGATTCTCTGATGTACAGAAAGTCTGGAGTTAAATCTGAAAGTCTTTCCACATTTGTTACATTCATAAGGTTTCTCTCCAGTCTGGATTGTGTGATGTTCAGTAAGATTGGAGCTGCATCTGAAAGCCTTTCCACATTCATGAGATTCATTAGGCTTCTCTCGAGTGTGGATTTTCTGATGTTCGGCAAAACTGGACCTCTGTCTGAAAGTCTTTCCACATTGGTTACATTCATAAGGTTTCTCTCCAGTGTGGATTCTCTGATGTTCAGCAAAACTGAAGCTCTGTCCAAAAGTCTTTCCACATTGCATACATTTATAAGGTTTTTCTCCAGTGTGTATTCTCTGATGTTTAGCAAGACTGGAGTGGAATCTAAAAGTCTTTCTACACTCCTCACATTCATAAGGTTTCTCTCCAGTGTGGATTCTCTGATGTTTAGCAAAACTAGATCTACAACTGAATGCCCTTCCACATCTATTACATTCATAAGGTTTCTCTCCAGTGTGGATTCTCTCATGTTGAGCAAGAGTGGAGCTGCATCTGAAAGATTTTCCACATTGATTACATTCGTAAGGTTTTTCTCCAGTGTGGATTCTCTGATGGACAGCAAGACTGGCCCTCTGTGTGAAAGTCTTTCCACATTGATTACATTCATAAGGTCTCTCTCCAGTGTGGATTCTCTGATGTGCAGCAAGACTAGAGCTCTGTCTGAAAGTCTTTCCACATTGAGAACATGCATAACGTTTCTTTCCAGTGTGGCTTCTCTGATGTACAATAAGGGACGAATTTTCACTGAAAGCTTTACCACATTCACAACACACATGAGATTTCTCTCTAGTATGAATTCTTTGATGGGAAATAAGGGATGACTGCTGCCTGAAGGCCTGTTTGCATTGTATACATTTATGTAGCTTTTCACTAGTATGAAATTTCTGATGGCGGATAAGGGATGACTGTCGCTTAAAGGCTTTGCCACATTCATTACATCCATAATATTTCTTTTCATTGTGAATTTTCTGATGGTCAGTTAGCTTTGAATTATGACTGATGACCTTTTTACCTTCATTACATATGTGCAGCATTTCTTTAGTATGACTTTTCTGATGCCTAATTAGGTCTGAATTCAAGCTAAAGGCCATCTCACAGTGATTACATTGATAAGTTTGCATTTCCAGAGGCTTCTTATGAGACTCAACAACCTCTATCTGTTTAGTAAAGCATTCCCTATATATATTATCCTGAGAACAGTCATTCCCTAAGGTCATTTTCTTACGGTGAATTGGGACTGAACATTGTCTGAACCTCTTTCCATCTTTATCAAATTCAGAGTGACTATTTTGTTTTTTCTTTGTCTTGATATCAGAGTCACACACTTCTCTTAAATTGATATCACAGGGGTCATCACTCATGAATCTTTGCTGCTGTGATTCTTCCACAGAAATGCTCAGCTCTGAAGTAGTCTTCCTCCTTATTTCAAGCCTGGTCTCTTCATCTGAAGGAAACAAAGAAACAAATAATCACAAACACACACACACACATATATGGACATAGACACATATGCACAAATATATCCTCTTCCTCCATTGATAGAAAGTAACTGATTTGTAACCTATTTCCCTCAAGAAAGAGAAGAGTCTTCAAACTTACATGGGGAGAATCAATCATTTGAAAATGCCTTTAGCTCACATCCCCAGGATGATTTAATGCACAAACAGCTTCATATACAATAACATTGGATCCTCGTGACACACCTGTGACACAGGCAGGCCCAGCATTCTCATTACATCCACAGCTCAAGCCATAAGCTCAGAATCACTGAGTGACCTGACCAACTGTAGCTGAGACTAGAACTCCAACCCTGTTACTGGGCATGCTCTGTCCATGGTACTAGACAGACTTTCTCCATTGAACTTTTTAAAAAATAAAAATTATTTTATTATTGCATGTTGACTTGTTTGCATTTATAAGCACATGAACAAACCATGGTATAAGCAGCAGTTTTAAGAAGTGCCCAATGTAAGTAGGATGCTTTGGCATGTCTGTAACATCATTGCTGCACAAGTATGAGTTAATTAGTATGAGAAATGTACTGGAAAAGTAAATTTATTTGAGTTCAGATATTTTTGAAATATTAAATTTGTTTGGATTTTTCAAGCTATATTTTTTGTCACATTCTATAGTTAATTTCATTGGGCTTATTTACAATGTTGACTATTGTTTTGCACTCAGTGTTTGAAAAAAACAGTGTCTTTGGGAAGGCATCGCTAAGTTCCCCAATTGTAGGGAGTGGACCAGTGCCAGCGGACTAGAAGGCTATCACTGCCAACTACCACAACTGGACAATGATCACTGAAACAACCAGGTCCGGCTCAGTCTTCTGGCAATCACTTCCCTTCTTAATGACTGTATGTACCTTTACGTCATTGTCCTTCAGTGGCTGTGCCAGCATATTTGGGAAGATCCCCAGAGGTGAACATTATGATTCCACTGGCTTCTGGTCTAAGGATACTTTTACGTAGAGACATCTTAGATTTTTGCCTGTGCCTCAAATGAGGTACCCAGCTCCTTAGTGCCCACAGCACACATTAAATGCCTTCTTCCAGCTAGATGGAAACCGCTCTTCCAGCAGCTAGGTGGTGCAGTGCATACAGTGTAGGGCCTAGCCTCAGAAAGACTCATCTTCACTAGTTCAAATCGGGCCTCAGACACTGACTAGCTATGTGACCCTGGGCAAGTCACTTAATCCTGTTTGCCTCAGTTTCCTCATTTGTAAAATGAGCTGGAGAAGGAAATGGCAAACCTCTCCAGTATCTTTGCCAAGAAAACCCCAAACAGGGCCATAAAGAGTTGGATATGACTGAAAAATGACATAACAACTTCTTCCAATCACGTCCAGCACTCTCCGCACTCAGACAAGCAGCCCAAGGTCAGGGTGTGCACTCCAGCCACAGGGTACAAGTGCTGCAGGCCACTGCAGGGCCAGAAAATACTGGCAAAGACCACCGTACTCTCCCATGAGTGGCTGTTAGCTGCTGGACTCTGTGGCATCATCCCCAACCACCAAGGATCCTGAGCTCCTAGAGAGCTCCCAGAGGCAAGAACCCCAAACGATTGGCTACTTAAATTCATTGTATTTAATTGGCTTTTCTAAGTTGGCTCAGCCATAAAAGAAAAAGGACTTCGGGGAATCCTTGTATTCAGGGCCTCAACTGGGACAAGCGGGGAATGCCCCATGAGTCATTGTCCTCTTTCACAAGGGCAACACTGTAGGATCACTTATGACAACTTCCTAATAATTACTTTCCCTGAGTCTCTTGTGACTGCTTCTGCTGGTTTCCCATTAATATTCCTTTATGGGTGAAAACAGGGGCAGGTAGTAGTATTTCCATGAGAATCCCACTGGGAAAACTGCTTACATCCTGGAATCAAGGCAAGCTTCCAGTTCAGCTGGGAACGATGAAACTCTTCTGTTAAATTAAGTGACCTTCGATCTAAGACTGTTAAAGATTCGGCAGACGAATTATTTTGGCCTACATCTGACACTTTGGGTTACCGCCAGTTGGAGAAATTAAGACTGGCCATTGAACAATCTCACCCAAAATAAATGAACTATATATATACTTAGTGTGGGACATGCCCAGCCCTCCTTAAAGGGCCTGCTTCTGACTATTCTGTTTTGACCGTACCCTCCTCTTCTGCTCCTCCACCCCATTCTCCTTTCACTATGGTAAGAGACCTAACATCTTTTAGTCAAGAGGGACAACTGCTGGTGTTTTTCTTTCCAAAAGAAATTTATACCTGTTGTCACCCAGCCTGGAAATACAATACCCTTAAGTCTCTATTTTGTTATCCTAGAAATTGGCCAATATGAAAGAAGAGATAAATCAAAGAGGAAACTCAGGCAGAAAAGTCACATAATCTTGACCACTGCCCAAATACCCCCTGGTCCTTTTTGAGCCTTGCCACAAAACCTCAGGGAGTGAGTAAGCTTTTATTGCATTTTACTAGAGATTGCAGGAAGAAAAAGAGGGGGAATAAAAATGGAATGCTGGGAGGATCTAGACATAAATTCATAGCATGAGAGTGCTGGGATAAGTGTCTGTCTTATCTGTGCTTCATGCTAATCTATGCTGGCAGGTTATTTCCAAGCACTGGTTTTCTTCCATGTCCTGATAACTCAACCTAGCTTTTTCCTTTGATTGATTGGCCAAGGAAAAAGGACTGCACAAAGTGAAACTTTCAAGTCTTCAGAAAAGACAAGTCTTGCTTTTCTCTCTATATTTCCAACACTGGCCATGTTGGAAACTGCAGAGATGAAAGATAAATGCAAAAATTGGTTAGAAACAAAACTTGTGGTTAAAATGTAATTTCTCTACTAAAATTTTCTAAATTATGCTTTGAATGCTTTTATGAGTATTTCTATGAGTTTGTGAGAGTGCCAGTCTATAGAGATTGTTTAAACAGGAATAAAACTTTGTGAAGTGTGATGAAAACAAAAATTATTAGATCTACTAGGCTACTTCAAAAAATAAAATGAAATGCATTAGACAATTAAAGGTTGAAATTAGACTCTCACTAGTCAACTACACTTTCCCAAAGCAGTTTCAGTCTTAAGTCTGAAGTTTTGGAAAAGATACACTTAAAAACTGCACTTAAAGGGAATGACAAACTTATCACAGAATGTAATGTGATTCTTTTTCCTGAGTAAAAGGCTATAGAATAGGAAAATTTTAGACCACATTTAGTTTCTCTCTCAAAAATAACAAAGGTAAGTAAAGTTGGAATTTGTTTACCCTTTTGGTGCTTACTGCTTTTAAACAACCAGTCTGAAGATACCAAGCAAACCTTGTCATCAGCCCTTACCTTGGGACTCCCAAATTGAAGGTGAATCCCAAAATACTCCCAGGGAGAGAAAAATTTCTTTTAAAATGATGAATCAACCAAAAAGTAAGTCAAATTTAATGTTTTTTTTTTCTGTGAAGCTATAATAACTTAGGGGAAGAAAAAAGAAGAAATACCCTTAGCCCTTGAGTGATTTGAAAGGAAATAGAGAAAAAGTTCCAACTTGAGCCCTTCAGAAAATTATAGGATCCATCAGGCACTGATTTTTTTTCAGTAGTGCAATTCTTGTTAGCTCTAATTAGAATATAAAGTCAACATTATGTTTTAATAAAAGTTGATACCTTAAGTTAAGAAAGCAGTATGCCACAAATCAAAGGCTACTTTTAATCATTTTCATTTTAATCATTGTTGACTATTTGCCAATGAGGCAAATTTTATAAAGCACTTTATAACAATCTGCTTTATTATCAAAGAGTTAATGAAAGTGACTTTAAGGAAGGCTACAGTAATCTCTTTAAACATCAAAGATTTGTAAAGGGTACTGTTTAATTTACACTTAATTATTTTAACTAGAACCAATGCGATATTCACATTTGTATTCCAATAATTATGTCCTCACCATCACTTTTCAATCTTAGTTAATTTTGTAAAATTAAAGCATAAGGCAATTAATAAGTGGGCTCTGAAATCTGAGATACTGGCAGCTTATGGCCCTTGGGAAAATTGAGGTTTTAAATTGTTAACATCAGTGATTATATAGCTTTATTTGATTGAGTTGAATCCAAAAACTGGATTAGAACAATAAAGATCTCTGTCCATCTAAAATCATCAGAAAATTAACTCCTTTGATGAGACAAATCTAAAACTCTTATTTGCTCAATTAGATACAATAATTCAGTAACCTATGGCATTAGAAAATATCACAAACTTTGTCAAAGAGGGAGGCAATTAGAAACTAAGATCTTTCACAGTTAAAGAAAAGGTGCTTACAAGTTTCTTTACACTTTTGGTACCAGCACCAAAGCATAAATTGCTTTTATACAATAGACTATATATTGTCAAAGAAAACAGTTGAAATGTGAAGAATATTTGATTTAGAGTGCATAATAAAGTGGATAGCAACAATAACCCTGATGTGAGGGGAGTAGCAGAGACTCTCTAAAGTACCAATATCGGGGACGTTCCTTTGCCATCACTGGGCTCTGGCCAATGCTTCAGTCAGTGTCTTGTCAACTCCTCTGTGAAATGGGTGGATGAGACTGAGGCTCATGACTCGATGCTTCTTCCCAAACCATCTCCCTGTTTTTATACTAGATTATGAACTCCTTGACAACAGGGGCCCTCTGTGGCCTTCCTGCACATTGCCAGAGCTTAGCACAGTGCCTAGAACATGGTGAGCACTGAATCAATGTCTACTGGCTGACTGTCTGGACCTAGGCCCATACAAGGCCCTACCCTCTACCTCGATCCCTGGAATCTAGTCTCTGTCCTAGTAGTCAAATGCAGGTTGCGGCCTTGGTTGTTTTCTGTCTCCTTCTTTCATCTCATGACCCACAAGGAGTTACTTTCATCTGGTCCTAATGCAGATGAGAACTGCTCAGACCAAATATGGGTGGTCCCAAAGGCTGCTGGAGGGTGTCCACCTCCCTAAACTGAGGGTGGCAGTCACCTACATGGATCTGGCCAATGACTCTCCAAGAACAGAAATAAAGATTGCACCATAAAGACCACGAAAGGAACTTGCATTGATGACTTATGCAGGCCTCAGCCTTGGACTGCTTCAGGGAAAGACAGTGGCCTTCACTCCTACTCACATGCTGCTGAATGAAGAGAGAGGAAATCAGGAAAACAGGTTGCTTGGGTCCAGTACAAATTTAGGTAACATGAGCTTGGCTGGGCCCCAACTGTGGCAAGGCAATCCTTTGATATCTCCCATACTGACTCTCTATCCCTCGCTCTATCGCAGCTTTTCCAAATCTTTTCAATTCTCCCCAACTCTCCCATATGGCTTGCTCCCATGAGACTATTTCACGAAAACAATTGGATGTTTACCAGGAACTCTTTTCTTTCTCCTCAACTAACATAAATCAGATGCCTTCTTTTTCTCCTTTACCCCTCTCTCACATGAAGAGGGGACCCTCCTGATTGACAAGGCAAATACGCCTTAATGATCCCATTCCATCCATCGACTTCTCCAGTATCTTCCCAATTCTACCATGTCCACTTTCTCACTAATTATCAATCTTTTCATTTCTACTGGCTCCTTCCCAACTGCCACAAATGAAACCATTTCCCCTTGGGCCTCAAAAAACCCATAAGTGATCCATCCATCCCTAGTAGATATCATATATCTCTCTTCCCTTTCATGGCTAAATACCTAGCGATGGTCCTCTATACTTTAGGTCTCCAACTCCTTTACTTTTACTTCCTTAAAAAAAACTCTTCAGTCCATCTCCCAACTTCATTGTTCAACTGAAATTCCTTTCTCCAAAGTTATCAGTGATTTCCTAATTGCTAAACCAAAGGCCCTTTTCTCAATCCTCATCCTTCTTGACCTCTCTGCAGCTTCTGACATTGTCACCACACCCCTTTCCTTGATACTTTCTTCTCTCTAGATTTTGGTGACACTCCTCTCTTTGGGTTCTCCTCCTACCAAAACTCAAACTAACCTCATTATCTTTCCCCTAACCCTCCCATATTCCTACTTTCTAACACTATCTAGGTCACCCTCCTGGTTGTCCGGGCTCATAAAAGAGACGTCACCGATGGGTTACCATCATCCCCCCTCCATCTTCAATCTTTTGCAAAGTCCTGTGGATTCCACCTTTGTAACATCTCTTACATACATTCCCCCACCCCCTTCTCTCCCAACACTGCCACCTTCTAGGTTCAGACCCCAATTGCCTCACACCTGCAGTACTGAAAAAGCCTGCTGTTTGATCTCACTGCCTCAAGGGTCTCCCTAGATCAGTCAATCCTCTACCCAGCTGTCAAGTTCATCTTCCTAAAGCTCACATAAGTACCAAGATGACATATAAAATCCTCTGCTGGGCTTAGAGGCCTTCATCATCTGCCCCTCTCCTCTCTTTCCAGTCTTCTTTCATCTTACTCCCCCTCCATATATAATCCAGTAGCAAAGGCCTCCCTTCTATGCCTTGAACAGGACACACCATCTCCAGTCTCCAAAGGCTTTCCAGGGCTGCCTCTCATGCCTACAATGCTCGCCCTGGCTTCTCTGAAGCCCCAGACAAAGCCCACCATCCACAGTGAGGCTTTTCCATCCCTCCTCAATCTAAGGACCTTCCCTACCTTGACTAGCTCCATCTAACCTGTATGTGGCATGTTTTACACAGTCCTATCCTTGTTATCTTCTCCACTGTCTGTGAGCTCCTTGACAACTGAGGATGTCCCTCGCCATTCTCTGAATCCTTGGAACTTAGCAGGAGGCCTGGCATATAGCAGGCATTAATAAAGGCTTGGTGACTTGAACAAAGGCTGGGAAAGAGCTTGTACCAGGCAGCCCAGGCCCTTTCTGGATGCCTTCAGGAGGGTTCCATGAGCCAGAGCTCCAAACAATGGATATTACAGACTCATAGTTTTATCACTGGAAGGGAAGTGGAAGGTCATGCAGTCCAACCCTTCCTTTCACAGATGGGGACACTGAGGGTCAGAGGCTCAGTGCCTTGCCCAGGATTCCACTGCTAAAAAAAGAATTTTAAGCCAGGCCTTCCTGCCCCCAAGTCTAGCACTGCTCTCACTGTGTCAGGGAGCCACCTCTTGTGATAACAGCCCTCATAGACCTGCTTTCCCCTCACTCACCTGGACAGGAGGTTCTGAGGTCTTCTAACTCCAGCATCCAAGGTGCTTCCCCTTGTCCAAAATGGGAGATCGAACCTTCCCTGGGAACTGGAATTCCTGGGCATGGGGATAAGGAAGGGATGAGGATGGAGAGCACTGGTAACTTATCCCTCTTTAGGGAAAGGGGGCATGCAGGAAGGGTCACAGGGGGGTTCCCAGGACGTCTCCAGAACCTTTTCCATGATAGTTACCGTTGGGAGCTTTGGTGGGGGATGGGAAGGAGATCATTTGGAAGCCAGTCTGGAATCAGAAAATTCTGTTTTCTCCACTTCCTTCAGAGAAGGATGAGTTGATTCCAATATCTAGACACTAAGAAGCATCTGCCAGTGCAACAGAGAGAGCCTTGGGCCTGGATTCAGGAAGCTCTGAGTTCAAATCTGTTCTCAGACACTTATTAGCAAAGTTCCAAGGCAAGTCACTTAACCTCTGCTTGCCTCAGTTTCCTCAGCTGTAAAATGGGGACAATAAAATCCTCTAACTCACAGGCTTGTTCTGAGGATCAAATTAAATAACGTTTTTGGGCAGAGTGCTGGCACACAGTAGGTGCTTATTCCCTTCCCTTCCTTTCCCACCATTTGTGCTGGAATTTTGAGGAAGCAGGAAGGAAGAACAAGGACACACCTGGTATACCAGGCTTCTGAGAGTCAGACTAGGAGCCATGAGCTACACATTCGTGCTTGTTGACAAGAAGCGCCTTCCAAAGACCCGACCCAAAAGGGAAGAGGCTGCTTTGGGAGGAAGGGGGCTTCCTTCACTGCCCGTCTCCAAGGAAAAGCTGAGGGGGCAGTTTTCAGAAATCTGGCAGAGAAAATTCAGGTTCAGGGAGAGGCAGACTAGGTACAACCTCTGAGATGACTTCCAAATCTGAGATTCTTCAGCACTGGTTTGATCTTTGACCTCAGGCTCCCTACAGCCAGTAAGAGGCAGCTTCAGGGGCAACGGAGGACAGCCCCAGCTTCCTGTTACACAGTGCAAAGACCTTTTACTGGAAACCAGGCAGCAGGAGGACCCTGTCTCTAGGACATAAGAGATCCACGTTTTGGCCTTTCCAATCACTGATAAATGCTCCAAACCCTGAATACTGGGAGAGATTGAAGGCAATCCCTTTGGATCCATAGCTCCAGAGAAAGTGTCCTTACTCAGAGACAGCAAGTTCTGGGCATTCTCCAGTGTGACCTCCTTGTACAGCTCTTTCTGAGAATGGTTCAAGAGGCCCCACTCTTCTGGGGTGAAGTCCACAATCACATCCTTGAATGTCACCAGCTCCTAAATGATCAGAAACCATAGCATTTAGAACTGAAAGAGAAGTCAGAATTCACGTAGTCCAACCATCATCAATCTGCAGGAGGAAACTGCAGCACAGAGAAGGCATTTGTCCAAAGGTCACAGCCTTGCTCAGTGTCAGAGCCAACACTTAGAACCATAATCATGAAAAGCCATTGGAATATTGAAAACAGCTGTTTATGTTTACAGTTGGAATAAAGTGAAGAAATGTGTCACTATGAATTGCTTCTCTCTATGGAATCAGAGAAGTGTTCTATCAGAGATACTTGGGGCTCTGTGGAGGAGAAAGAGATAAGGTTCCTCATCAGAATGGACAAAAGTGAAATGTTTATAAAGAAAATACCACGAAGAGTTGGTAAGATATTAGTAAGCAGTGTGAGTGTGGAGGAGAGTCCTGTGATTACTGAAAACAGAGTATAGAAAAAGAAAAGATTTAGCTTACTTCCTGAATGGCTGAAACAAAGTCTTATCCTGATGAAAACACGAAAAGCTTTCTTAAGAAATATTAAACACAATGCAATCTGAACTGAGTGGCATAAGATTATTTCCATCAAGGAAAATGGGGATCTCTATTGTTATACTGAATGCTTGAAGTAGCTCTGCGTATGCTGTCATAGCCAAAACATTTTATGCCTTTGCTTTACAATTGCTTTCATCTATTAATAGCAGATATTCATTAATTTTGATATTCAGTTGTATAGAAATAAGAATAACTAAGAAGGGAATAGGAGGTTCTTTCATTTATTAATAAAGGTAATATTTTATTAATTGAGGTTGGGATTTGGTCTCATTCATGAGAAAGACATTGCCAGTTTCCTTATGAGAAATGAAAAACCTAAATATACTCTACAACTCTGGAACAATGAGTTGTTGCAGATTGATGGATAACATGCAGGAGGGGCCGACCAGATCTGAAAACACATTGATACAGGGGATGCGTCATCCATTTCTCCAACCTACTAAACGCAGAACATGTGTTTGGCCAGTGTGCTAGGAATATTTTCTTCCATTTCCATCATGTAGTGACATGACTCACTTTTTCAGAGTTTCTATTTCTGCCAGGGGAGTAATTCTCTATCACAGAGATAAAATTCTTTTTTATTTTTTTCATCATTTCGATTTCTTCTTTAAAAGACTAGATTTATGCTCTATTTGTAATCCATATGTATCTTTGTCTTCCTTTACTACTACTATTTATCTGCTGAACAATTAAAGAATTTGTTGAACTTTTTTCATATTTTTAGATTCCCAAGAGTTTACATACCTTTCCTTTTCACTAGTTTTTTGAGTCACTATTCATTTTACAGTGTGGGCTCTCACTGTAGGAAGGCAGTCCCTCTACTGATTGATAACTGAGTACCAAACTCAGTCCTAACAGAAACTTCCAAACTTCTTTTCCTTCTGTTCCCAACATCTTTCCTTCTCCGTTCTCCCACATCCGTCCTTCACCATGAACTCTAAACCTCCGTTTAAGGAGAGAGCTCAGCTCACAACTCTCATTTCTCACTTGGCTGCACTACTCCAGGACTTCTTTGACTGACTTCTCTGCCAGGCCCCATGAAACTTATTATTGTGACAACCTCAATATGCAGTTGTGGTATGGTACCTCATTACTTCCTCTGCCTTTCTGATTACAGGCTAGGGCTATGAACTCCAAATCTCTATTTAAAGAGAGCCCAGCTCACTCATCTCATTTCTCACATAGCTGTAGTACTTTGGAAATTCTGATTGATTTTTCTGCCATGTCCTAGTGTCTGGTAACTTCTCCCATCCCTCTGCACTTTACAGGTTCTTTTTGTATGTTGTCTTCCCCCTTAGATTATAAGCTCCTTGTGGGCAGGAACTGTCTCATTTTTTGTATTTGAATTCTGCCCTCAACATAGGGACTGGCGCAAAGTAGGCACTTAATAAGAACGTACTGACTAATGACCAGCCAACCACTCTCATTTCAGCACCTTGCCCTTACTGTCCTTTCACAACTACAGCCATTCAAGCTGAGCTAGCTCTGCTCCCGCCTCCTTTCAGACATCTCCAACATGATGGCCAGTATCCTAAACTCACCATTTCTGTAAAAGGATTGACTACCTCCCCACTTGCTGTCAGGGGCAACACCATGCTCCCAGCAACCTCATTCTCAACCCCATCTCTCAATATCATTCTCAACTCCCATTTCTCACCCCTCTGATCCAGTTGGCTGCCAAGGCCTGGGAATTTTACCACGCAACAACTCTCAAATACACCCCCTTCTCTCTTCTGGTACTGCAACCTCCTTAGTATGGGCTCTCATCACCCAACCCTGGGGCTATCGCAAGAGGCTGCCGCTGGGTCAGCCAGCCTCAAGATTCTTACCATTCGGGTGGATCAGTGGGATAAGAACCCACTATTTGACAAAAACTGCTGGGAAAGAGGGGCAGCTAAGTGGCACAGTGGATAGAGCACCGGCCCTGAAGTCAGGAGGACCTGAGTTCAAATCCAGCCTCAGACCAAACACTTGACACTTACTAGCTGTGTGACCCTGGGCAAGTCACTTAACCCCAATTGCCTTAAAAAAAAAACTGCTGGGAAAACTGGAAAACAATATGGAAATTGCAGCCTCTGAAGCTGAGATACAACAAAATATGGATTGATTGCTGCTTGTGCTAATTTTGGGCTAACAATTAACACCAAGAAAACACAGGTGCTCCATCAGTCACCACCACACCCTCCATATGTGGAACCATCGGTCACAGCAAATGGAGAAGTTTTGAACACTGTGGATAAGTTCATTTACCTCAACAGTACACTTTCCAGAGATGTACACATTGATAATGAGGTTGACGCACACACTGCCAGGGCTAGCTCAGTGTTTGGAAGGCACCAAAGGAAAGCGTGGGAGAGAAGAGGTATCAGACTGACTACCAAACCGAAGGTCTACAGAGGTGTTGTGCTGACCTCATCGTCGTATGCCTGTGAAACCCGGACTGTCTACCAGCGCCATGCCAGAAACTGAATTACTTCCATTCGAATTGTGTTGAAAAGATCCTAAAAATCACCTGGCAAGATAAGATACCAGACACTAAGTTCCTTTCTCAAACTAAACCGCCAAGCATTCAAACTCCACCGAAGAGAGCATAACTCCAATGGGTTGGCCACATTGTCAAACATACCCTGGCCAAAAACAGTATTTTATAGAGGACTCACACATGGAAGACCCTGGCACAGGCGTGCCCACATCAGAGAAGGTGCTGTGCTGCATGAGCAAGGCAGAATTGAAGCCACTCAACAGAAGCGTGAGATGGGCAAATTTAAAGAATCCACCCCACATGTTCACACGTCCTATTTGTGCCCAATCTGGGGTATGGCACTCCGAGCGCCGGCTTATACTGGTCTGATCAGCCAGTCAGACACACTGAGATTGGACTCTACCATAGTGACATCATTTGGGTACTCTTCTTGAACAAAGGACAACCACCACCCACCAAACAGCATGGAAATATGCTCTACACGATGGCACATATATTTAACCTGTATCAAATTCCTTGCCATCTTAGGGAGGGCTGAGGGGAGAAAATTTGGATCTCAAATCATTTTTTAATGAATGCTAAAAATTGTCTTTACATATAATTGGGGGGAAAAAATACTATTTTAAAAAATTCTCCCCATTCCAATGTATCTCCCATTTGGTTGACAAAGTAATTCTCCTAAATGACAGGCCTGATCATGTGACTCCTCTACTCTCTAAACTCCAGTGGCTCCCTACCACCTGCAGGATGAAACACAAGTTCTCTTGCACTCAAAGCCTGTCACAACCTGGACATCACCTAGCATGCTGGTCTCCTTCAAGCTTGATTTCCTGCCCTCTACTCACTGATCCAGTGACACTGGGCTCCTTGCTACTCCAAGAAGAAGGCACTCCAGCTTTTCAGTCACAGCATTTTCTTGGGCTGTCCGCTATCATTCCAATCCTCTCTTTCATCTCTATCCACTTGCTTCTGGCAAGTCCCAACTAAAGTCCCACCTTCCACAGGAAGCCTCTGGCAACTCCTCCGACTCTAGTGCCTTCCTTCTTTTAATCATATTCTGACACTGATAACTGCCTCTGATCAGGTGAGCTGCCACTGGGCTCCCGTCACATCAGCCAGGCATCGGGCCACATGCTGGGGCTGCTGGCCCTCCAGAAGCCAGGAGGTGAAATCAGCAGCCAGAGCCGCCAGTCCCCTGAGGCAATCAACACTGGAGGATGGGCTCAATGCATTTAAGAAAAAAAAAACCATTCAATTTCTGGTGTCAGATGTCAAGACAGGGGCATTTACGGGGCAAAGCGAATGGAGCCAAGGTGGGCCTACAGTCAGGAAGAGCCGAGCTCAAATCAAACCTCAGAAAATTACTAACCCCGTGACCCTCACCACGTCACTGAACCTCAGCCTCCTTAATTGTACAATGGGGATAATGGCCCCTGCATCCCAGGGTTGCTGGGAGGATCAAATGAGCTAATATTTGTAAAGCACTCAGCACACAGCCTGGCACACAGCAGGCACAGCACTCTAGAAATGCTGATTCCCTTCTCTTCCCTTCCTTCCACACCACCACCCCAGGCCACCCTCCAGACTCCTGCCAAAATCATTTTCCTTAAGTACAGATTTGACCAAGTGACTCCTCTAGTCAACCAATCCCCAGTGGATCCCTGTTGTTCTAGAACCACATACCAACCCTCTCCTAAAGTTGGAAAGCCCTACCCAAGCTGGCCCCAACATCTCCTTCCAGCCTCATTAGACGCTCCTCAGCCCCCTGTCCTCCCAGATCCAGCCACATGGGGCTTCTCTTGGGTTCTCACCTACAGCATTCCACCTCCCACTTCTGTGCCCTGCCTGTCCCCCTTACCCGGAGCTCCCTCCTTCCTTCCCTCACCTTGGAGTCCCCTTCTCCCGCCTCAAGCATCATCTTCTGCATGAAGTCATATCTGCTATCTCCAGCTGTGGGTGTCCTCTCCTTCATCCCTGCGC